TAATATATTTTTTACATCATCTGCTGCTACTCCTCCTCTTTCTTCGCTATTACCATTTGCTGTGTATTAATACCAGCAGACCAGTTACATGCAGAACATATATTCACTTAATCTTTTCAATAACTAACTCTCTTAGGTAGGGATTATTTTAATTCTCTCTTTTACAGAAGGAAAAATTGAGGCACGGAGAGATAGTAACTTGTGCTCTGGCATGTTGCTCATGGTGGCAGGAGGAATTTGACCCACTGTTTCCTACATACATTTAAAAACTCCCACTCTGTATTTGTCCAAGTTAAGTTGAATAAAATGAGCTGGAGTACTTTATAAAGACTTTCATGGCGTGTAAAATAATGCTCCTTGTTGTACAGACTCTAGCACTTGTAATAATAATAGCATCATTTGGTTCTTGCTGGGTCATTTCCTTTTCTTCTTCTTTGAAATTCTCACAGATATGCTGATAGATAGTTCCTATCACTATTCCTACATCATAGATGAAGTTGAGACATAGTGAAGTTACATAATTTACCCAAGGTCCTCTAGCACATAAAGGAAAAAGTACAATACAATTGTTGGTCGTGTTTTTGGATATGATGTTCAAAAGCTCTCTTAAGTAGTTCAAAACTTCCAGTGTTTTGATCTCCAAAAGCATGGCTATTGACCAACCAGTAACTTCCCAGTATGGATAGGAACACAGGAGAGAAAGCAGGGAGCTACCTTGCTCTTGTACTTCTGATGCCCGAGCCGAAACTTCACATAGGGGTCGCTCAACCCATTGGAATCCATTGCTTTGAGATCTCGCCCTTCAATCAAGGTGATGCTGACTATTCCTCTCCACAGATGTGATTTTCTGTGCTGGTCTGACAGACGCAAACTTTGGCTCTGAAACTTTTGGGAAAGAAAAAGTGAGTTAGATTGTTGTGTTTTATGTTTGTTGTTTTGTTTTTTGAGACTAGGTCTCACCATGTATCCCAGATTGGGCTCACTAAGTAGCCCAGGTTGGCCCTGAACTTGCAGCAATTCTCCTGCCTCAGACTCCTAAGTGCTGGGATTATAGGTGTGCACCACCATGCCTAGCAAGTTATAGTATTGTTTTAAATCTAAATACCGTATATCATTTGGCCTTATTCTTTTCCCTGCTATATATATATATATTTTTAAATAGCCAGTTATTATTAAAAAAACAATTTGTGGACTATTAACCACTTATTAATTTCAAATTTATTAATAAATTATGAAATTATTCATGATAAATTTGTTATTAAGAGGAGGTGAGTGCTCAAATAAAGACAGTCTAGCTTTTCAACTCTTAAAATTATAATATATAAATGCTGCAAGAATTTGAGAGATTATTTGCATTTGTGTCAAAATGAATATGGATAAAATAAGTATTGTAAATATCAAAGACCACAGCTACACTGTGATATTTAATGTTTATTTATGGTTTTGAAAGATCTTTTTTCATGTTACAAATGGATTTTTATGGGGGAGGTTAGTTGCAAGATTGGTTGCAAGTTCTATCTAGTTATTTAAAATTGTTTTTGCCACATTAGGATATAATTGAGTTTCTGCTCAAGCAGGAACTACTTCAGATATTATGGAACACAAAATGAAATCAATATGGTCTTCCAAGATATTTTGCTTAAACCTGAAACTTGCATCAAAAATATTTACAATTATTTTAAAAATTACATTTATAATTTATATGGGCAAATGTGCTTCTGGATTTATTTCTCATTCCAGTATTTTAACATTTTCTTTACCGATCCTTATTATGCTCAATTCTAAATCACAATATTCAAGCTAGTGAACAAAATCAGAAGTTTGTAAAATTATCAAGTCTACTAAAAATGGTCATATGATTTTTTTTAACTACATAACATATAAAACAAACTAGAGAAAGCAGTTAAACATTAGAACTCTTTGAAGCTGGACTCAGCACTAATACTATAAAGTTATTTCTTTTTAATTTTCAAGTATATTTTCCCATTTAGTCATTTCATGAAGTAATTCAACATTTCTCTCAATCTCAAAGTATTCTACTCCTTAATTATTGACTAGTCCTAATTGCCACGTGGTCCGTTCTATATTAATGGGATACTGCTCTATTTAGTACAGTTTTCACTTCCACTTTTGACTTCCTACAGTTTTTGCATGCAATAGCAATGCCACAGCCATTCTTGTACATCATCATCAAAAGTCACGTGCTTTGATGAGGAAAATAAAATCTATATTCTTCAAAAGACTTTCAGTACTTGCCCATTTCAACAAAAAAATCTTTCTAAATCACATTGCATATTTCCCTACTACACTGAAGAGCAAAGTTTGAACATCACTGCTGGCTCTGCTTTCTTAATATCAACGACTCCTCACCTCTGTGAGCCTCCAGGGCAGTGTTCTGAAAGGTAACAGAGGGTGCAGGGAGCACCTCAGGTTCCCCCGGAACTCCCCTCTGCTCCCCCTGACATACATACATGAGCTGGGTTTCCACACTGAGTCTTGTTTGAACAAAGGGGTTCTAAGATTAAAATACTTAGAATTTGTTGTAACCAGTGATGGGTACAGGCCAGGGATTTATCTCAGTGGTGCAGCTGCCTGCCTCACAAGCACAAGGCCCCGAGTTCCATCCCCAGTACCAAAAAAAAAAAAAAGTTCACTCTACTCGTAACTGTATAATGCAGCCATAGATGTTGATGATCAGTTGATTGATTTAACCCACGTTTGCTGCTCAGTCTTTCAAAGAAGACTGGAGAATCAGGTTCTGAACTTTGGAACTGAAAGTTTCATTAAAGAAGCTGAGTGGGAAAGTAGGAAGGAAGAAAAACAAATACAGTATTGTCACAAGAACAAATATTTATCTTAGCAAAGACGAATTGCCTATTTAGACAGAGCTTTTGATTTATGCAGCTTATTGAAGAATGTATGTAATATCATCTTCCATATGTTTTCTAGAAGAAGTCATACATGACACTCAAGTAACAGGTACAATCTAGTATGTACATCTTCAATCAAAAATGCTAAGTTGGTTTCTTTAATAGTAATATGTCTGTGGGCTGAGGATTTAGCTCAGTGGTTTCGCCGCCTGCTGTGCAAGCACAAGAACCCGAGTTCGATCCCAGGTACCAAAATAAATAAATAAATAAATAAATAAATAGTAATATGTCTGAAACCCTTATTTTCCCCCCTTTACTATGAGAATACAGAGTAAGAAGTGGAAAAAATGCTTTCCATGGAATCTTTCATGGTTCCATAGAAATAAAGGGAATTTAAGAGAGTCTTTGGCTTCTGCCATTAATTGTTAAGAAATTCCTTTCTATAATCTTGAAGGATATTTCCCAAACAACTTGGGAAATAAAGGAGGAAGAGGAAGGAGAGTATTTCTTCATAAAATGACAAAATGTAGACATTAAGGGGACCTCTGCACAGGGCTAAAAACAAGGGAGAGGCTTTCTAAAAACATATTAATCATATAATTTTAAAGTAATTTTTTCTTCTTCAGTAACTTTTGTTCAAAATGGCACATTCCTAAGAGAAACTTCATAACTGAGCTGTAGATTTATTGAATAACTACAAAATTGTGAGTAAATGCATAGCCATTAAACATATTTAGTTTAAGCATAAAGAATAGAAAATTGCCATAAAATTCTAAGATAAAGGTGGAAGATACAAAGTTAGGCTACTCATAGTAGAAAAAAACAGACATTTAAATATAGTCAGTTCTCCACAACCCTGGGAGAATTCAGCAAACCATGAATTGAAAATATTTGGGGGAAAACTGCATCTGTACTGAACATAAGTAGACTTCTCCCACTTGTCATTATTTCCTGAGCAATAAATACAGTATCACAACTACTCACATAGCATTTGCACTGCATTAGGTATATAAGTAATCCAGAGATGAACACAGAGGGGGATGTGTGTAGGTTATATGCAAATATCATACCATTTAATACAAGGGACTTGAGCACCTGCAGATTCGGTGTCCTTGGAGTGGAAAGGGCTTGGAACCAATCTCCCCACCAGACCTCACTCTGCCGAAGGAGGAGTCCTATGTGATGTGGGCATGTCTCTGGGACTTGGTTTTCTTATTATTTTTCAAGCCTCTTCTCCAAGTCCCCAAATGTGCCTATGGGGGTTGTGCTTGGGAGCCACCATGGGAAAACGTATATTCCATAGACAGTGAAGACCTAGCTTGCTGAAGATGGCTGCCATTCATTACTTTGACTTATTTTTAAATATTAAGGTTCTGCAGAGCTCATCAAAGGGATGGCGATGAGCAGAACTGCACAGTTAAAAAAAAAAAAAAAACCTTTGCAAACCACTAACTTTGATACTCTCCAAGGAACCTTCCGAGTCACCTTGCTCTGTCTCAAACACTCCCTTCCTCTGTACAGCAATCTTGGGAATGTGTGGTCCATAGACCAGAGCCATCAGTGCCACCTGGGAACTTGCCAGAAATTCCAGTTCAGGACAGCATCAGAAGCTGTGGAAGCAAGCCTGCCTCAGCCTTCCAGGTGATTCTGATGCAGGCTTCAGTGTGAGACACCCTGCGTTTTATATGGTGTATGTGCATTGGCCTGCCCTGTGTTCTATTACCTGCTGTTAATATAATTGTAAATATTTTCCTCTCTCTGGCATGGAAGTTATTTATGCTACTTAAAGTCTTTTTTTAGTCCTGCTTTTAAATTTAATAATCAGGAAAGCAGATCAGTTTGGATATTTGAAGAATTTAAGAGAGAAGTAGGAGCCTACTAGAAAATTATGGAAAGTTTAATGTATTACCTTCCTTTATTAATTTTTTTCTCATAGAATGTATCTAAATAACACATATTTATTGAATTATTAATAATTGCCCCCCCCCAAAATCACTTGTTGAGCACCTAAAGAGCAAAGAGCAGCAAACAAATCCAGGATTGCTGAATAAAGTTAGCACATTACAACTGGTACTTGTTTATGTAAGGTAATGTTCTTAGCTAAGTCTTCATTGAATTAGAAAATGTTATTTGAAGGAGGAAGAAAAAAAAAAAGGGACGAATAAAAAAGAAAATCTAACTCAGCTTCAAAGCAAAGAACCAAGAGCACAAAAGAAATAGCTAATCTTCGAACTCTTAAATTCTTGAATTTTAGCAGTCAATTTTTTGAAATTTGTGGACATCCTTTTCATTTCAACACATGCCTTGTGTGATTCTTATATGCACCAAAGTATGAGATCCACCCTCATAAGGAACATTATCCAACTTTAAAATTAATAAAGAACAGCAAGATCCTAAGTAACAGCATAAATTTCAAAGTCTGAAGCAATTAGCCAATAATATGCATCTTTGGTAAGATTTTAGTAGTTAGTTGGCACTTTAAGAGAGAATTATTAGTGTACTTATATTATTTCTTGAGAAAGAAGTCAAGATTATGATTTTGCTTCATATTATAATAGGTCAGGAAGTGCTTTTAAGTCAGCTCTAAGAATTCGCAGCTCATGCAAGCTCAGCAAAAACAGATAACTAAATGGTCGAACTTACTTGTGAATTTTGGCAAAAAGGACTCTGAAGCTCTGCTCTGCAGAAGCCCAGGACAGGGAGAACAGGCCTGACGCACGTCTGGATGGAAATGAATGATCAGAGCTGTACAGGAAAGCTGCATCCCACTCTCCACCCCTCATTTTGATCAGCATTTAGAATTACTTCTCAATATTGTTTGAAAACGTTATGCATTTGCGTCTCAAGTCATTTTCAGAAAATGTCTTGTAGTACAATGAAGATAAATGCCAACACAACTCTGTAGTTTCCAGCCATTTTTTTTTTTTAACTAAAATGATGCTGTGGTGGTCAAGATCATGCAACCCAGAGAGTATCTGGAGATGGATCCTGGTTAAGTGGTTTCAGGTTTTGCTAGTAGATGTAATAGAGGATACACACAGCAAGAGAAATCACAAATCAAAGAAAGAATAATTTTCCCAAGTCTGATTAGGAATGTCAAAACAGCAATAAGGCCCAAGAAGAATAAATGTTACAGAGACAAGCAATAACTGTGGTCATGCTAAGCTTGCATCCCACAGGTAAATCTTCTGTATTGATTAAAGACCTATCTCCAAAGTAACACAGAAGTTTTGTTCTATGTAATATTTCTCTTTGCTGTCTCTGCTATCAGAAAAAGCAACACAAAGATTTCTTCTCTACTAAAAGCAAGAGAGGCAAGAGATAGATTAAGAAAGACATAGCTGGACAAGAAACCTTGGAGAGAAATTACCATGGTGGAGCTGAAAATGTGTATTAAGGACTTACCAAGTAGTTAGAGAAAGTTTCTGAACAATAGTATTATGAAGAAATGAAAGGCATTAACTTTTTTTTTGAAAGGCATTAACTTTAATGACATCAATGAGAAGGACTGAATTAGGGAAGTCTGAAAGAACAGTTAAATCACACAGAAAGAAAGAAACATTTATTGAGCAGTGATTATATTGTATAATTTTCATATTCCAATATTTTTCATGGAATGCTTCTCATTTTTAAAGCAAAGAAACTGAGGCACAGAGAAGATAAATATCCCACTCAAAGCTAAATGCTTAGAGATAGGAAAGGCTGAGATTTAAATCTGTAATTGTTATACTTACTCCATGATTTTCTGCACTATATCTTATTTTTTTGGACAGAGCCTATGAAGTTTATGATACAAAACAAGGAATCAATTGGTGCAGTTTTTTTCAAATTCCTTTGCCTTTCATTTAGATGAAATATATCTTGATTATGAATTGTTGAGAAAGGCTAATTAGAAAGTTAGAGGTAGAGAATAATCCTGGAATGTTTTATTCAATAAAGCATATTTGAGTTAACTGTACACTATAATAAATTATCATCCAATGTCTATCAATGAGGCTAACGTATAGAATCTAGCATACAGACTGAGAAGACTTTTTTATTCCCATTGTAGTTAACAAAGTGTACTAGCTCCCCTCTTTGGAAAACTAGACCACTAATAATAGGATCTAGACTAATAGGATAGATCCTGATTTTAAAATAAATCAATACAAAAAAATCTATTTAGACTTAACATGTGACTAAGGGAACACAGCTATACCAATCATCCTCCTGTTATGTACAAATGATCCTTGGCTTTTGTTATCCTGGATTTTATTACCTGTGTAAAACCTAATCCTTCCAAATGAGACTCATACACTGTGAAGCTGGAGTGAAAGGGATTGCTTGTGTGTTCACAGCAAGTCATGTGTGGAGCTCTTTTCTATTTTCAGTACAGAGGTGACACGTGCTTTTATTTAATCAAATGATCCACAGGCTTCTACAAAGAAAAAATAATGACAGCCTGGAATGACTGTTTTGTGCTGCAAAAACTAGAGTGTGGAACAATTACAAGCTCAATCCCAGGCACAGGCATCTTCTATCTTTTCCTTTTCCTGCAGAGTTTATTCCAGTGAATTGCATCTGGATGATGAAGTCCAACCAGTAGATTTGTTCTGCAATCCTCGATCCTCTGAAAGCAGAATTGCCTTCACAGAAAGCCCTGCCAGGGCTTTGTGCAGCCTCCTGTGAAGTGTCTCCTCTAAAAATAGAGCTTCAATCCCCCTTTTCTTAGAAGATCATTCACTGGCACTGTAATCCTTAGAGAAATTCTCCTGGTTTTTAATCCTTAAATTTTCTTTTGTATTTTGATGGCTTCTTGATACAATTTGTGGTACCAGGAAGTCATTTATGTTCACTTGAGGCATCTGAACTATACTCTCTAACTTTAACTGTGGTCAAACAAAGTTCTTAGGCTTCTACTGTGCTTTTCAGTGTACTACGTGTTCCAAGAGGAAATCAGCATATATAGTAATCTTGTTAGATTGCTGAAATAACCTACACATTGCTACCAATGATATAGGGAAGGAATTAGTACTTCTTGATTTGACTTACAAAGACCTTTTGTTTTCTTCTCTTTTTTTTGAAAATTTAAAATTATAGTTTAAATTTCCAAAATTTTGAGAGTCTTGTTTTCATACCTAAAAATGAAGATATCTGAGGGGATCAGCCATGTACAGTTGAGAAGTTCAGGAACTTCAGCACATGAACACATTCTTATTTTATAAAACTAATAACACTTCTCCTTAGTTTGTAGTCTTTATCTAAACACACATCTGCACAACCCTACTGCTAGATATGTTCTAACATAACTACCCATTGTTCTGTATTTTTCATAGTACTCTCTTTGCCTGTCATAATTTTTTCCATCTTTATATGAGGGAATCTTGGCATATTCCAGCCTCTTCCATTTAAAAAATCTTAAAGTTACTCTTTAATTCACTACAGTGTTCTTGTAAGATGTTTTGTTCAATTAACTCTTATCAGAGCCTAGATGTCCGCTCAATAGAGATAACTAGGAAAAAATATGAGCATGCTAAATGTTTGAAAGAACTGCTTTAAGTAAACCTCCTTTAATGGGAAGTTAAAAGTCTTAAGTCAAATTAGTGACTTAATTAGAGTACTCCAATTTGATTTCACATAATTTTTACTTTCACGGGAAACACGGTAATTGCCATATTCTCTCTTCAGTGTTTTGTATTCTAAAATATGGTGTTTTAATGAATTATAAATGTTATGGTTTGGGAAAAGAATATCCCTGTATCACTTTAGTATTTTCTTCCCATTATTTGGCTCTTAAGGCAGTTAAGATGTAGCAAGTGGTACTGACATACTAGCTTAGCATGGTCTCACTAGGATTTAGTTTTATTCCATATATCTTAGTTGCTATTTCTTGAACACATGTATTGATCCTTATAAATTAAAATGATACATTCTTTCAAAATAGCATGCTGTTTAACTTCCAAAATTCATGTAAACTTTTGGTGCAAGATTTTATCTGCACTAATCAGATTTTTCGTGTATCTGGAAATCTGCATGGGAAAGTGCCTTTCATATACATTTTCCCTAAAAGTTCATTGGGATACCAATACTCTTTGAGTCCAGAGCCATGGGGCCAGCTATCAGAGTGACCTTTGAATGTGAACATGTGAGATAACAGTCATCCTAAGTAGACTCGGCCACTGATTCTCTCGTTTTGTAAGTGAGACATCAAATGCAGCAATTTCTCAAAGAGGGCATTTGTATCCATCAGCTTAAAGAGGAACCCTATGCTGTAAGTTCTTCAAAACATCTGTTTGTCTGGCATTCAGTGAGAGAAATATTGGTCCTGATCACATCATCTGCCTGTGTCCCTGAGGGCTATAGTCTCATTTCTCTGGGCCTTAGTTTCCTCACTGGTAAAATTAATCATTGTCACTCATTCATTGTATTCAGAGAAAAAGAGTTAATCTAGACTTTGTATAAAAAAGCTATCTTTTATATTTTACTCTTGCATGTTTCTTACTTCAAAATCAGACAGCTCAAGAGCTTGAAGAAAGGTTATTAAAGAATAGTGAAAGATGAATTCACTTGTAAGTGAAAGATTAATTTTGAAACAGCAAAGTAGAAAGATGTTGCAAGATCCACTTGAAAGGGAAAAACCTAGCAAAAGCAGTAAGTAGAGATAGGCCTGGTGACAAGTCTTCATTCATAGAGACTGGTTTGCACATTTGCTGCATGTAGAACAAAGAACACAGAAAACTCCAAAATCCTGCATCAACTAAATGTCTCCTATCAAGCCACCATATTTGTTGGTCTTAGGAGAACAATGAAAAAAATTTTTTTTTTGCAAAAAGCTATTTTTAATTTAAGGCCATGGAAGAATTCAAAAGCAGTTCACCTGTATGTTCATAGACAATGCATGAACATCTAAAAGGAATTGTCATTATTTTAGCAAAGATGGAAAATAACTTCAGTGATTCAGCAGATTGAAGGGAAACAAAGAGGCCATAGTCAGTAATATAAGGTCACAACAATAAAAGGTTGCAAAAGCTGTTTGATGCAGCAGGTGGGGATCAGTAGATGTGGCTTGCACTTGTTCACTGGTCGGTTTGTGACTTAATGTGGAACATGAAAATCTTAAAATCTTGGCAAATCTTAAAATCCTAAAGGAGAAAAGTAGTTTTCCATTATAAGCAGTTTCAGAGCCAAGAAAGGAAAATGGCAAAGAACTAGGAGTACAGAAGTCACATTGCAACATCTATTGCAACATATCCAAATGCCAAGTATGAATTTTCAAAGCAAGAGGGACAATTTTAAAGGCAAAGTAGTAAATGAATTAGTAATGAATTAAGCTGTGCGTACTTCAAAATTATAGTGGAGAAAAAATGGATGACAGAGCTTGAAATATTTAACTCACTGAAGAGTCAATTAAATTGCAATGGCATTTAAACAATCTTGTGGAATTTTTATTTTTTTCTTGTTTAAGTCAAAGGTAGAAATGATGTTTTCTAAATCAAATTTTCAAAGAGCACTGACGATCTAGTACAGATTTAGTATACATGTGTAAGATCACTGTAATAAATGTAGATTTTTCTTGAACAGAAAGTAATCTCATTTTCCAAGAGTAAAATAAAGAGCCTTACAGTGCCCTAGAAGGTCACTGGGGCTGTAGCTCTTCAGATTTTGGTATAAACTTGGTTCCACAAATAACTGACTTCAAATAATAGGTTTTTAAGAATATGAAGTTCTCAATGTTTTCAAATGAAGAAACAGAAGAGTAAGTTGCCTAGATGGCTTAATAAGCCAAAAGAAGACATCTATCTTAGAATCTATTTTAAAAAGTGAATTTCATAATTCACATTTAACTTTCAAAATTACTATTCAGAACCTCAAATCAAGAATATTGATATAAAGGATTTAGACATTACCCTCCAAAAGAAAGACTTCACAGAGAAATAAGATCCAACCACTTCATTTTCTGAGAGTTCCTAAAAACAAACAAATATTTAGCTGAATATCAAGAAGTTTCTGAGAATATTTCATTGGTATTCAGAATCAAACAAATAAAAGCAAAGCAAACTAAAAACAAAAAAGATGTATATTTGGTTATTCAGAAACTTAAGTTTTCTTCCTTTGCATATATTGCAGTTTTTGTTTTATTCATCTATGGCATGAGTGGTAATGAAATTTGGAGAGAATTATTTATGCACTTTGTAGAGAGTTCACTTACCTTTTTATTCTTAATTGTTCATTAATATATTTTTGAGTGTGATGTTTCCTTATGGAAAGTAGAACTGTTTAAACACATTTTAATATTTTGAAATAAAGCAGATAATATCTGTTCTTTTTGGAAAAAAATGTTAACTATAGACCTCCAGAACATTTTAAAAACTGATAGCAAAAATTGTACTTGAAACATATACTTCGTTTAATTTCAGTATAAAAAATTTCCTAATTATACATGACCTCATTAACTTAAGTAACTTCAAAAGAAATAAAT